TAGGCCGTGCCCCATCTCGCTTTTGTGCTTGGCGGTGTGGGCCAAGCAGATTAACCCCATCCTGTTGAGTTTGTGGTCCAGGACCAGTTCCTGTTGGATCCTTTGGCAAAGTCCTTAGAGCCACCCTCAGCCCATTTCACCTGTGACATTTGAAGGATTTTTGAGCAGACTGGGGGTTTGCCAGTTGGAGGTGCAGGTTTGCAGTCCTTGGGGCTGGCACTGAAATCTATTACGGAGTGAGGGAACAGTGTTTTCTTGGACTCCATGCTGACCAGCATTATCATGTGTTTTGCAGCAACATCCGGGAGATGAGAGCCGTACACAAGGATCCCTTCCTGAAAAAACACAACCTGAAGCTAGGTTTCATGTCAGCTTTTGTGAAAGCTGCAGCTTTTGCTCTGCAGGACCAGCCCGTTGTGAATGCAGGTGAGTGGTGACACTTGCTGGTGAGTTGCACATCTCACCAGTGAACGCAGCAGAGGGGGGAAAAGCAGGTGTCCAAGTCTATGGCAGGGCTAATAGCTTGGGCAGGCAAGTCAAATATGCAGAAAAAGCGGGGACCGTCCTACGTGCTGCAGCTGATTTTGCTCATGCCACTTGTGTAGGTAGAGAAGAGCTTGTGAAGAGGGGCTCTGTTAGGAAGAGGTTGCCAGGAGCGGGGCTGGGGCCATGCATATGCAGCCCGCAGAGGGAAGAGCCTGCTGGTTGGTGTAGAGGTAGCTGCTGTAGGTGCGATGCAGTTCCTGGGGGTTGTCAGAGGTGTTTGCTCAAACCCAGAAGAGGAGAATAACCAAGGGGATGTCTGAGGGGGACTGACCTGTCTGGACTGTGTTTCCTTTCTGTCTGTACTGATGCTTCTCCCACCAGTGCAGCGAGGGCTCATTCTTCTCTGGAGTTATGGTTAAGCTAGATATGAGCAAGTTGTTACGATTTTGTGGCTACTTCTGGCCTTTTGAGCCCTTGATCTTGGGTACTGCATGTGTAACACAGCTTTTTTTCCTCCTTCTAGTGATTGATGACACGACCAAAGAGATTGTGTACAGGGACTATGTGGACATCAGTGTTGCTGTAGCAACTCCCCGGGTAGGTACCTTGGGTGCTTTGGCCATGGTCCCTGCAGCCTCAGGTCTCAGATGATCGTATACTTTGAGCCACCTCAGCTTTGAGCTCCTCTGCAGCGGAAACTTACTGATGAGACTGATCTTCTAAATGAGACATCTGATACATTGTGGACTGCTGAGATGGGTTTTGGGTGAAGATGGAGGACCAAGAATATTCTGCCACTGTACTAGGAGATGTAGTAACAAGGTCAATATAGATCTCAGTGGTTAATGAGTAGGGCCAAGCTAGGGAAACCCTTTTTTTTCATGGCTAATCCTGCTGTGCTGTCCCACCATATCAGTAAATCACATTGCTGCCTCAAAGAGGGGTTCCTGTTGAGGGAGAGTATGGGATAGAGATACAGATGTTGAATTAGTTGGTTCTGTTGTGAGGCAGAGGTTTGTCCAGGACTGAAGTTCTGTCACTGTTCCCAAAGTCCAGGAAAGGTCCAGCACAAAGGGACTCTGCTCTTCTCACCTAGAAAGAGGTGGCAGCTGAACTCTGCCCAGTGCCTCACCTGGTTTTATGGATGTGGAACTGGATCCAAACAGGCTTGGTTGATTTTATGAGATCGGCTTACAGAGGCAAAGATGTCTCATTTATGGTGTTGGCCTGTGGTGCGTGTCATGCCAGGTTTCCCGGCAGGCTGCCAGGGAGTGAGGCAGCTCTGCCAACCACCTGCTGTGGGCTGAGGAGGAGGAGGCAGGAACTCTGCTGGGCTGAGGCCAGGTTCCTGCCTGATAAGTTACCTGTGTGTCACTGCCGTGAACTTGCTGATCATGCACTTTGCTTCTCCCTAGGGTCTTGTGGTCCCTGTCGTTAGGAATGTAGAAAACATGAATTTTGCTGACATAGAGCGTGCTATCTATGAGTTGGGGGAGAAGGTAAGGAAAGTTGGAGGGTTTTCTGAAAAGGGCTGGGAGGAATGGGAAGAATTGGGGGTGCCAGATAGGCATAAATTGATTCAGTCCCATTCAGTCGTCATCTCTGACCTCTAACACACTGAGCTGTGCTGTGGGGAATGATCCAGTTACAGCTGTAGCTGTGCCTATGCCTTACAGGACAGGCCTATCTACTTGTTGCCCTTCCAAAAGAGTGCAGACTATGCATTTGTGGCATGGTGTGTCTTCACCTTTGTCTTTAGAGGCCAAGGCTGAACTGCCCTGGGGTAGAAGTCCCTGTGTCTGTCTCCTGCAAAATCCAGAGTTGGAAGTGAAGGCAAGAGAATCCTTCCCCAAAGCCAGTAAATGTTCAGAGCTAAAGACAGAATGCATTTTCAAGTAATTCGTGCTGGTTTTCAGCTGAACAGGTCAATAAGCGAAGCTCTTGCCATCAGCATTTACTCCTGGAGAGGGTGAACGCCCAAGGCCTTGTCCTTTGCCTTCTGTGATCTGTGTGGCTTTCTAAGACCTCACTTTTTCTTCTAGGCACGGAAAAATGAACTGGCCATTGAAGACATGGATGGCGGCACTTTCACAATCAGCAATGGAGGGGTTTTTGGGTCACTCTTTGGGACACCTATCATTAACCCACCCCAGTCTGCCATCTTAGGCATGCATGCCATCTTCGACAGGCCTGTGGCTGTTGGAGGCAAGGTAGGTGGAGCTGCACAGGAGGTTTCAGTGAACAGAGGGGAGGGCTCAGTGGGATGAGGACCACAGCCCATATGCTTTTTCTAGGGGGTTGGTGTCAACTTCTAAAAGGCTTTACTGTGAGGGAGGAGCAGAGACGAATGGGTGTAGGGCAGCTTTGCTGGCACTGGTACTTGCCTGAGGTGTGCGGGGGGCCTTGTCCTATCCATCAGGGGGCAAACTGGATAATCTGCTTAGGTGTGGGGAGGAGGAGGCTATAGCCTTTGTGATAGAGAACAGCTCCAGAAAGGTACCTAGTCTTGTGTGGTGTGGACCCAGCCTGGGTGGTGGTCAGTGCCTGGGTGAGTGAGTGTGGGTGGGTAATCCTGCCAGGCAGGACACATCCAGGAGGGCCTGAGCCCTGGATTCAGGACAGGAAAAAGTCAGGTCTTCCCTGAATTCACAAGAGGGCATCATGCAGGCAGTAGGGCTGAGCTCACTAATGCTTGTCTTATTCCTCCCCTTCAGATTGAGGTGCGTCCCATGATGTACGTGGCACTGACGTACGATCACCGGCTGATTGATGGCAGAGAGGCGGTGACTTTCCTGCGCAAGATCAAGGCAGCGGTGGAGGATCCCCGCGTGCTGCTGCTCGACCTGTAGAGCAGCCACACCCCCACACAACCCACCCAGGGCAGGGCCACAGCACCAGCAGGGGCCATGCAGGGCATTCAGGAACAGGCAGCGGTCATTCCAGTCCCGCTCCCTCCACTGTGATCGGAGCTGTCCCGGAGGGAGTTGTGGGGATAGCTCATACCTCCTTTCCTGTTCTGTTTAACGAAAGTTCAGTTTCTCACGAGGATTGCTGTGCAGTGGGCCAACCGCTGAATGGCACTGCCTTTCCAGAGCTGTCTATATGGCATCCTCTCCCTCACAGCACCAAACTCTCACCTCTAGCTTGTCCTATACCAGTGGAAACTGCTTGCTGCTGCTGTGCTAGGGTACCCTTCCCTGCCACTCCAAGGCAGGTTCAGCTTTATTTCCTAGCACTGAGGTTCCTGGGAGGGAGAGGAGAGGAAAGGCTACTGTTCTGTCCCTGTTTTGCTTGAAAATATTTCACACTTGTCTGCCTTGCAGGGGCAGTCTGGGGACCCCCAGGCTGCTTGCAGCAGAGCAGGGCTTGAGGTAGGTGTCATGCCTCTGGCAGTGCCCTAGTTACACTCCCTTCACAGACAGGAATGCAGCGGTGGCAGCTCCCCTGCTTTCCCTTGGAGATTGTTTGTCTCTCTCCAGCCTGGTCACTGTGGCACGAATGTTCACGTCTGGGTGGGCAGAGCCCGTGACCTCTGTGGAGGTAGCACTGTTCCTGGGGGGACAACCCTTTCACCATTACATGCCCAACACGGGGGTAAGAACCAGCCCCGAGCAGCTGTCCTTGAATCACAGCTCACTGATGGTGGATCCGACTGCTGGCTTCCTGCGTGTGAGGGCTTGGCCTGCTACCAGCAAAGAGACAGCTGGGGAGGGCCAGGTCTTTAAGTGTAATGTATATCCCAGCCCAAGGCTGCTGGTTTTGGGGGGAGGGGGGCAGTCCTTAATTCAATAGCGCACACATGTATTGGGGAGTGAGGGGGTTGCTAGTGCCTGCAGAGTCTATTACTCTTACCCTCTACACAGAACTTGTAACTAAAATATTTAACACAGCGGATTTTAAATGAAATAAAACTGGGCAACAACTGCAAGGTGGGGTGTGTTTGAGGGGGTGAGCAGCAGCTCCTGGGCGAGGACTCAGGCATCAGCATCATCCCTAGTGTAGCATAAGAAGCCTGTTACCTGAGGGTAAGAGAAAAGAGGGACTGGGAGCTGGGCCCGTCCCTGGTGGTACTAAATTGAGGCTTCCCTGGCTGTGAATTCTACTGTCCTCAAACCCTCTTTGGCACAGAACTGGCTCTTCCCAGCAAAGATGAGGTTTTCAGGGCTGGAAATCATCCTTTTTGCAGTCTAGCAACAGAACTGTTGCGGACGGCATGGAAATCCCAGTATTTGCTAAATGGCATGATGGCCAAGAGGGAGAACTGGGACAGGCTCTTAAAGTACAGGTGTAGAGCCGGTTTCCTTTTTCCCTGATGCAATGGAAGTCTTGTAAATCATGAAAGTGGGAAAAGGGCTGTTAAGGGTTGCAGAGGGAGAAAGGAGGCCAGATCAAAGAAGAACTGTAACGCAAAAGCTGTCTGTGGTGCTGAGAGCGTGTCCCCAAGGAGCTGTTTCACATTGTTCCCTGTTGGAACAATGTGAAATCGTTCCTGGATCATGGCAGGGTTTTTCCAGCTCTGACATCAGCTTCAGAGAATGGGTTGCCCTTCCCGACTACGAGTGAAGAAGGCAGCCCCTTTTAACAGAAAACAATTGCACTCAGAGCTGGCATGCTGACAAAAGGGAGAGCAGTTCCTAGTACTGCTGCCTGCACCTTCCCGGCAGCTATGGACAAACCCGCGCCTGGAGTCAGTTTTCCTCTGACCGTCCCTGGTTGAGGTAGAAGGTTAGGAGGAGCGAGAGAAAAAAACCCTTCCCTGTGCCTTAAAGGAAGGGCAAAGAGTCTAGCTGCTCCTGCACAAATAAATGGAATGAAAGAGACGGTTCTGATTAAAAAATGCTGCTAGCACCTGCTGCCCTGTGCTGGTTTAGGATACAGGGGCCCACCTTGACTTTGTACATGAGCCTGGGGAAGGGCAATGCCTGTATTCTGTCTGGAGCTGCAATAAATGAGGCCTTTGAACTACCCAGGGAGTGAATGGACAGTCAAGCTCTTAAAATGATGCAGCCGAGCAAACTGCTTTATTTAATCTGCCCCGTTGGGGCTTTCTGTAGGAGGGTTGTGCAGCTGCTGTGCTTGAAGCTGCCTTTTTTGACCCTCCTGGGTGATGCCCAGGGCACTTTGTTGCAAGAAGCCATGCTGTGGCTTCAGTGGCAGGCCTGAGAGTCAGTCCTGCTGCCCCTCCCCTGCATCACAGGGCTAGGAGGCTGATGGCCAAGGGGGAGCCTGCTGCCGCCGGAGGGTTCAGCCAGCGCAGGCTGCCCTAGAGAGGAAGAGCCCCAGGCCTAGCTGCTCCCAGCATCTGGCCTGCTCTGGCACTGGTGGTCAGCTCCTTGGTTAGTCCTCTTGCTTCTGCACAGCCTTTGGGGTGTCCCCTGCCTTTGCTGGGGTGGGAGATGACTTTCTCCCGGGCTCTGCTTCCCTCTGGTGGAGAAGCGCTCCCGCTGCTGCCCGAGAGCCAGGCTGAGGGGGCAAGGCGCATGGTGTTACTTGCTGGTGGCAAGCAGGAGCTGGAACCAGCTAGTCACAGAAAAGTTTCACTGGTACCAGTAATTCCTTACTACTGGGGACAAGTGAGCAATGGGAGGGAGCGCTGGAAGAGGAAGGCCAAAACTACACTGCTGCCATTGCTAGCTTGTCCTTCAGCCTATGGCTTTGACTTGCACAAATAAGCACAGCATCTTCTGCCTTGGGCTGTTTGTTAGTGGACACCTTTTGTTCACGCTTTTTCTTCCATCCTGGCTTGTATTTACTCTTACCCTCCTTCCATCAGTGCTGGTTCTCAGAGGTCATCCCTTTAAACCCTCGCTGGTTGTTCTACCAGGAATGACCATGCTCAAAGCACAGCAACAAGGGCAGCGGGACTGCTGTCCTGCCAGCAGAAAGGAGCACCCAGGCACGGGAGGCTGGAGCCAGAACAGATAACGACAACAGTCAAGGCTGGAAGAAAACACAGGCACTCTGTGCATTTTCCCAACTCTGAGCTGCAGCTGCATGGCTGCGGAGCCACGAGACCATGAGGCAGGCAAGGGCACAAGGGGAGATGGCCAGGCAATCGGTGCCACCTTCTCGGTTTTGGCTGCAGGGTGCCGGCAGCCAGTGGCCCACACCAACCCCGGGCTCCCAGGCAAGTTTGAGACAGATTTGGGGTCCTCCCTCGCTCAGCCCAGGCCTCCCTGGTGCAGCTCAGAAACAAAAGGACACTTCTGCAAGCGATAACGAGTGGTTTATTCTTTTCAGAGTGCTGGGGGGAAAAGAGCAGAGGTCTCCCTCCCGTCTCACCCCCGCAGCAGGA